AAAAAAATAGCAATGGCGCACTGCTCATGTGGTGCGCCATTAGTAAAATCATAGCAATGGCGCACCTGATTCTGGTGCGCCACTGCTATATAGCACAGTGGTGCACCACATACATGGTGCGCCATTAATGTCCATATTAGCTATAGCCGTTTTCCTAGTAGTGTGAGTCAAGTGTCGATGCCAAACACACTGACACAGTGTTATGCGTTGTAAAGGAGAAAGTCCGGAATTATGTAGAAATGCTTGAAGTATAAAAGCAACAGACAAGTGTTTGCAGATTTGCTTATTAAAGGCTTACCGCCCAGTGTGTTCGGAGAACACACAGTCGACATGGGTTTTATGGTATATTCTAACATTTCCGGACAATAAAAGGGCCCAAGGTTAAAGAATTTATTTCAAAACAGAGAGGTACGTTGTGGCTGTCTGATTCTATCGACAATTGAGCTGTGATGATGAAACATGTTAAAGAATCTATTATGAAACGAGTAAAATAAAAGTATAAGGTCAAAAGTAAAAGTTGAGATCAAGGGAGAGAATGTTAGGATGATCTCCACCCTGTGGGCCCAACGGCCCATCGAGCCCTTAGATCTGCGCCCTGATCGGGGGCGCTCAACCCACTATGGGTGACGGGCCCCTGTCACTTGCACTATATATATAAAGAGGTGGGGGCCGGCGGCTCGTATCATGTTGTTCGTCGCAACGCCGTATATCCCACCTACATCCCCTACCGATCTAGGGTTAGTGTAGTGCTGATGGGAAGCACCGCCACCACTTCGCCCATGATCTGCCATCACCACCGCCGCCATCCACCATGGCCACCCCATCGGGCTCATCGATCCAAGGAAAAGGTAAAGACCACCGTGAATCCTTAACCCTAACCGATCCAGAGGACACAACAATCGCGACATGAGTGGCTAGAGGCGTCATTGGAAGTGAGAGTAGAAGAAGCCACTCACAGAGTAGATCAATAATATACTTGATACTAAGTAATTATGTATAGCTAGTTCATATGTCAGCTGGTTAGTTGAAACTAAGATTTCATGCTAAACTCAAAAAGGTCAGCATTTGGATTCATAAGCCAAACTGAATCATGTTGCCTGGGTTGTATTCCCTCCGTTCCTAAATATAAATCTTTTAAGAGATTCCACTATAGACTACATACGGAGCAAAATAAGTGAACCTATACTCTAAAAGACGTCTATATACATTCGAATGTAGTCTCTATAATGGAATCTCTAAAAAGACTTATATTTAGAAACGGAGGGACTATATTTGGTTCCATAGTAACCTCAAAATGTCATCATATGTAGCAATTAAGGTGTGAAACTAAATCCCACCGGTCTGGCAAATCATCTTATCATGCCATCATAAGGCTTGCTCCCATGTGGATGTGTTCTTCCAATAAGATTCTGATAAGGTCTGGTGATCTAAAGAAACACCTTCTCATCTCTATTATAAACTATCATCAGTAAATGTAGTACTACATTACAGAGAATCTAACTAAATTTTCTGTACCATGTGTAAAAAGAAAACAATTTTGCTTGCGTAGATAGTTAAGCTGAGTAATATACATGAGAATACCGCGTACTGCTCAACGCGCTAATTTTCTTTTTGAACTATATGTTACTTCATGAGTTATTAATAATTCAATTTGTAAAGTATTATATGCACTTTTCCACAAAATAAGTATTATAAGCTCTAGCCCGTGCATTTGCACGGGTAGACAACTAGTGTAACTGAGTTATTGGAGACACTGTTGTTGTTGTTATTTGCGAGGAGGGGACACCGTTGCTACAAAGAAAAAATTATAGTTTTGTTGTTATTATTAAAACTTTTTAATTTCTTACATTGCTATGTATCAATCTTTTTTACTCCGCACACCCATGTCAGAAATCATGGCTCCGCCGTTGGTGCCAGGGGATTTTCGTCTCCCATCATGTCCATCAAGATTTCGCCTGCACCGACAAAACGTCGTGCCCCATTTTTGTGTCAAACTGAGACTGATTCATTAAAAACGACCGATTTGAGCGTTCCTAGCAAGCCAGCCTCTGGATTGATTTAATGAAACGGCTGCACACACAATCTGCTGATGGACGATTTGTGCACGACATGATTAGAAGCCACACAGATCAAGGAAATGAGGCAATCCAATGGTCTAGGTGCTTGTCGTGTCTGAATCGTGCATGAATCCGTCGTCTGCATAGCACTGCTGTTGATTTAAAGTTGATGCGCGTGCGAGCCAGACCTCCCTGCATGCAACTAATCATGGTTTTCTTGTACCCACACAGCCCGCAGTCTACCAAACACGAACTAGTAGTATCAATCATTGTGATATCCTTTCAAGTTGCTGCCCGTGTCGCATTTGTAGCAGTTGTTTATTCATTTTGAGGCACCGCTTGTGTTGCTACATGATGGAGACAAGTCGGACTCTAATCCAAATGTACTAGCTTTTTTTTAGTCCATCCAAGTGCAGGAATGAAAAACTATAGCACGTGAATGGGGCCTACCCCTTTTGGCCCATAGCGCAAAAACAAAAGAAAGACACAAAGAACTCGCTTGGGTCAAGTCGTCCCGTCCTGAGATCCATGAGACCATTTCTCAAAAAAAAAAAAAAAGAGAGATCCATGAGACCATCTCAAACATCCTGGCCCCACGAGCCACTCAACTTGTCCACTTGGTCTCTAATTCGCGTGCGGCTACAATATTCCACTTGTGGTCTCGACTAGAAATGTCGATGAGCTACACATCTCCGTTGCACAAGCTTGCCTCCTTCCCAAACACCAAGCCCAAGCAATGGCCTCTCGCCGGCGTCCTAGTCCTAGCACCCTAGTCTTCCTGGTGTTGCTATACCTCTACTACGCGCCAAGCTGCGCCTTCTCGCTCTCCTTCAACCTCAACTTCTCCGATCCCAGCGCCGGTTCATCCATCGCCGTCGCCGGCGATGCATTCATCAGCACGCCTCCATTGACCCTCGAGCTGACCAGAAATACACGTAGTGCGGGTATTCAGGACAGCGTCGGCCGGGCGACCTACGCGCACAAAGTGCCGCTGTGGAGCAACGCAACCGGCGAGATGGCTAGCTTCACCACCACCTTCTCCTTCCAAATCACTCCAGACAAGGACAGCCTGCCGCTCACAGGCGATGGGATGGCCTTCTTCCTCGGCCATTTCCCTTCGGCGATCCCGCGGGACAGCTACGGCGGCAGCCTCGGCCTCCTCCTCACCAACACTAACGGTACAGGCGACGGTCGAATCGTGGCCGTTGAGTTCGACACTTTCTTCAACACGCGATATGGAGATATCAACGGGAACCATGTCGGCATCGACATCAACTCTGTCAACTCCACGGCGTCCACGAGCACGACGAGACAAGGCAAGAACCTCACGTCGCTCCATGTTATGGAAGCCACCATCAAGTACCTGAATGACTCCAAGATGCTGGCCCTTGACCTCCTCATCGACGATGCCTTGTACCAGGTCAATGCGACCGTCGATCTGAGAAGATACTTACCAGAGGAGGTCGCCGTGGGCTTCTCTGCGGCGACTGGCGACATCACCGAGCTGCACCAGATACTGTCATGGTCATTCAGTTCCACTTTGCAGCTTGAATCAAAGAAGGAAGCTCAACCTCTTCCGATTCCAAGTTTTCCAACCACCAGCAGCAACAACCACAAAACGTTGGTACCAATCCTTGTATCCGTACTAGTTCCTCTCCTTTTTTTGGTGGTCTGTGCGGCGGTTGTGCTGGGATGGCGGCGACACAAAAGAAGAAGAGCAAACAATGAGGACAGCGAAGAAGAGTGTGACGACAGAGCTGACCTCGAGAGAGGTGTGGCTGCCGGCGGCCCTAGACGGTACGTGTACCATGAGCTGGTCGCCGCAACAAACAACTTCGCGGAGGAGGAGAAGCTCGGGCGAGGTGGCTTCGGGAGCGTTTACAGGGGTCACCTCACACTCACACTCGCAGGCGCCGTCGGAGGTGACCAAGACCGTCGAGAGGTGGCGGTGAAGGTGCTGTCAGCAGAGTCGTCGTCACAGGGGAGGAAGGAGTTTGAGGCAGAGGTGAGGATCATCAGCAGACTCAAGCATCGCAACCTTGTCCAATTGTTGGGTTGGTGTGACAGCCGCAAGGGGCTCCTCCTTGTCTACGAGCTTGTCGCCGAGAGCAGCCTAGACAGGCACCTCTACAGCAAGGACGGCACGTATCTGACATGGCCACAGAGGTACAGCATCATGGTCGGCCTGGGATCGGCGCTGCGCTACCTCCACGGGGAGTGGGAGCAGTGCATCGTCCACGGCGACATCAAGCCCAGCAACATCATGCTCGACTCGTCGCTGAGCACCAAGCTCGGGGACTTCGGGTTGGCCCGGCTCATCAACCACGGCGCCGGGTTAATGCAAACTACCAAGGCCGTGCTCGGAACTGTCGGGTACATCGACCCGGAGTTCGTCAACACGCGCCGGCCCAGCACCGAGTCGGACGTGTACAGCTTCGGCGTCGTCCTCCTGGAGATCGCCTCCGGCCGGCGGCCGGTGATCGAGACCGCGGAGAGATCCTTCACGCTGCTCAGCTGGGTGTGGGGCCTGTACGGGAGGGACGCCATCCTTGACGCGGCGGACGAGCGGCTGAGGGGCGACGAGGCGGACGAGCGCTGGATGGAGCGGGTGCTGGTCGTCGGGCTCTGGTGCGCCCAGCCGGACCAGAGCGAGCGGCCTAACATGGCGCAGGCCATGCATGCCCTGCAGTCCGACGAGGCGAGGCTGCCGGCGCTCCCGCAGCACATGTACATGGCTGCGCCGAGTCTTGCATCGTCCGTCCCGTACGGGTCTTTCTCCGTTGACAGCTCAGGCTCCGGTTGCGTTCGCTCTTCTACGGTCAGCACCGGCAACACCACTGCTTCCTCCGAGTCGTCCTCCACCGCGCTGCTACGACATTCCAAGGATCAAGCTAATTGATTCATCCAGATTTGTTGTTCTTGACTAATTTTCTTGTTAATACGTCCAGTATGCATTGTTTCGCGGGAAGATGATGTTCCGTCACTTCGCGTGTTGTTTTCTCTCTATTAAATTCTCAGTCGAACTTGTATCTGTACGTATGGGAAAAGTCTGGGCCTTTTTCAAGTGTTCATCAAAGAAAACGAATCTGTGCCTCAAAAGGAAAAGGAACGTGACTATGCGGTCATTGGTATGTAGCAGTGAGTTTGCCTAAAATTGCATTTGGAGACCGAGCTCCATGAAGGCCTTCATTTACAAAATTCGAAATTCATTTCTTTTATGTTTAAAAGAATTCAGAAAAAAATAGACAGCTATACATGGAGGAATAATGTACATGTGTGCAAATCCATCAGCTACACGATCGCCGCCGAATAGGCATCTGTTGTGGTGCTTCCAAAGCCACCAACCCGAGAGGATAGCCAAAGAAGAGAGGCCTTGTCGAAGTTGGCGTGGGGCGTCGTTGATGTTTGAGGGTAGCTAGGTGATGAATTCCTTGTCGTGGCCTAGCAAGCGAGCGGTAGATCGGCACCATGAGAGGATCTCGTGTCATGCCGTGCAAGAGAAGGAGAATCCCACCAGAGTATGTTGCATCGTTTCTAGCTCTTGGTCACAGAAGAGGCATTTGTGCTCGTGGTGGAGGCCTTGGCGGGCGAGCCGATCGGCGGTATGTACCCGAGGTAGTCCAACGCCATGTGAGCCGGTCCGGCTCACCGTAGAGCTTGAGGAGGTTCAGCCGTCGCCAGAGGGAGATGTATTGGATGGCGGCCGCGGTGGTAAGGGCGCCATGGATGTCGGCAACCCACGGGCGGTGCGTGAGGCAGTCGCAAATAGAGCATGGTTTGCGCAACAGCTTGGGCACCTTGAAGTAGACTAGGGGTGCGTGCTAAGAGATGGATTTCCAGTTGATCCAATGATCCTCCCAAAAGCGGCAGGGACGTACATCCACGATCAGCCTAGTCGTGGAGGCCCGGAAGATAGCCTGCACCTCGGGGCTCCGAGGGATGTGTAGGTGTTGCCATGGCCACGTCAAGTCCATTCTTTGCATCCAGAGCCAGCGCACATGTAGGGAGATGCCCAAGCGATGGAGTTCTGGGATCCCGAGTCCCCCAAGCAAGATCGACCAACACACTTGTAGCTAGTTGACAAGGCAATGTCCGCTGCTGGTGTCTTTTCGACCGTACCAGAGGAAGTTGCGGATGAGCTTGTTACTTTGCTTGAGCATGGAAGGGTTGACAGCCACGGCAGGGAGAGTATGCACAGGGATGGCGGACAACATGTGACAACAGAACGCCAAATGGTTGCCGTGAGACATCATGAATGCCCACCACGGGGATAGGCGACGATTGAGCTTGTTGATCAGGGGCAAAGAGAAGCCTAGGCCTCGGCTAGGAGCGGCGGCGCGCTAGCCATCGCAAGCGCGGGGTCAGCGGGCACGGGCCAGCAGTGGAAATCTGCAAGCACGAATCATGTCGGTGGCTGGGGGCGGTCAAACATTTTGACGTATTTGTCAAGGATGTTGTCCGTGAATGGCTCATCTCTAAATGTTTTGGGGAACGGATTTATGGGATCTGTTCTGCCGGAGGGCTCATGGTACCGACGATTTTGTACATACTTCTGTAAAGATTTTTTTAGGACAGGGAAGGGATGTTCTCACCAAACACATTCAAGCCTCCACCCCTAGCCAAATCTCGCAGAACATGGCTTCCCTCCGCGAAAAGAAAAGAAAAGAAAAGAAAAGAAAAGAAAAGGGCGGACACAAGTCGACGTCGCCGTCCCTACTAGAAAAGTATCGTTGTACACATCCAATGCATAGTGGAGTACTTCTGTAATCTCTATGCTAGTACATACTTTTTTCAAAACACAATTGTTTTAAATTGCACCCAACCCTAGCTGTTAAACCAATTCACGCCGGTCTTCGGTCTCTCTCATCTCCCCCATATGATATTATGGTCGGCAACCAGAGGGGAGATCCGTCCCTTTCATTTTTATTAATTATGGTTCTTGTAATTATTGTATGGGCTACTATTTTATATTGTGATGTACATATCAACATCTCATTCAAGTCATGTGTGAAGGCCCATTATCATAGTGCTCGCCTTCCAAGTTGCTGCGTATGGCGTCACACTTGTTAGCAGTTGGTCTTTTGTCGGAAAGAAAAAACCAGTTGGCGGTTGAGGGGCAGTCCGCGCCATTTGTGGAGACAATAATGGAATTTTTCAAGGGGCGTCGGCCGTGGTATTTAATTATATTGATGATGCAGCCACACTGGTACGGGACAAAAGGAGTAGGCCCCGACCTTTTCAAGTTTTCATAAGGGACATGAAACTGTGCCCGGAAGACAAAAATGTGAATAAGTGTGGTTACCAAGCGGATACTGATGAAGCTATATATCTAAGGTAGAGTCATGGATCTGTCCAAGATACCCTTTGCAAGGACATCTCTAAAAGAACCAGAAGCATTCGAAGAAAAATCATCATCCACTCGACCATGAAGCTATATTTCACTCGACAGTCTTGAAGACACTCGACCATATGGACAATCACTTGACTACCAGAAGATCTAGAGCCACTCCGCTCTGCAACGGTCGGAAATTAAGTCATAGCTTTAATGGTCATTATGTATCTTTATTGCAGACATTACCAATAACGTTCCCATCTTTATGTATCTTAAACACTTTCTAACTGAGGGCAGGAGGGGTCTGGTGAATTCTATATAAGCCGCCCCCTCCTCAGGGACAAGGGTCCGCACCCCCTATAACTCACACGCATATAATCCAATTGACCGCCTCCGGGCTCCGAGACGTAGGGCTGTTACTTCCTCCGAGAAGGGCCTGAACTCGTAAACCTCGCGTGTACAACTCCTCCATAGCTAGGATCTTGCCTCTACATCCCTACCCTCCTATTCTACTGTCAGACTTAGAACCACGACAGTTGGCGCCCAACATGGGGCAGGTGCCTTAGCGACTTGTTGGAGAAGTTGTGATTTTTCCGATCCCCATCGACATGGTTTCAGGCGGAGGCTTGGCCAAGGGCCACGAGATCCGTCTCGGTGCGCTTGTATTCATCGCCGACGACTCCGCTTGGCTCCAGGAAGCGCCACTCAGCGTCGAGGCGCTCCCCGTCCGCGGGGTAACACACTTTCGCGCGTGCGTCCGTGGCGTCCTCCTACGGCAGCCGTCGACTCAGTATCGGTTGGCTCCCGTGCCGACCTCCCTCCCTGCAGCCCGCCGGAGCAAACGTTCCGGTCGATCGAGGCTTCAGCGGTGGGTGAGGCACGCGGTGGCTCACCAATCGGCCACCCACAGGACGCGGAAATCAAGCCCGACGTAACTCTCTACGACCTATTTGACTGGCTCCGTAGAGACTGCATCCGAGTGCGACAGCAGCGACCCCGCGGCGGAAGTTTTTATGGTCAATGGACCACGTAGTCCTCCTGGCTTCACCCGTGAGGACGGAGGCGACGGTGGCGGCGATCCGTCGCGTGTCCACGAAGAGTACCGACCCGAACCCCTCTCTTCACAGAGGAGGGAGGAACTTCACCGCCGGAACATGGATGCACTTCACACTCCTATCGTTGGAGAAACTCCTGAGACCCAGGCCTTGGAGGAGGCGCGCCTGGCCAACTTGGTTGAGAGTACTCGACTGGAGAACCCCCAGCGCGCACTCGACGAGCGTGCTCGGCAGCGTGCTCCCGAATCCAGTTGACGTAAACTTTTTCCACCTCTAACTCAGGTATACCGAACTCCAATCCAGAATCTCGCAGCTGCGGCCCGAATAGCAGAGTCAATTCAACCTTCCCAGTCAAAAGCTGGTCGAGGTTTGGTGCAGATCCGGGCCTTGTTCCGAGCCGCGGGAGAGCAGAATACAGTAGTATCTCAATCGCGGAATAGGATTCACAGCAGATCCGTGGTTGCATACACAGTCCAGTCGGCTCACCGCCCAAGATCGCCCTCGAGGCGTGAGCAGGGGTGGAAACGGATCGGATGCGGATCGGATAGTGCTCTTACCACTTTCATTTTCATATTTTCAAAACGAATACGAATCCGAATACGGATGTTATCGGATACGGATGCGGCTCGGATATTATTCGAATACGGATACGTATCGGATATTTTCTTGATTCGGAACGGATACGAATAATATCAACATATTGCTTAAGTGAATTAATCGATAGCTATGTGACCTAAAATAATCAACTTGTGACATACAATAAGTCAATGATAAATAGGTTTATGAATAAATACTATTGTAATGCATAATAATTTATAAGTTTAATCATATAAAGAGTAAAATTTGACCACTTATTTTGCTTTTATGTTGGATAATTGGAATATTTGGCCTAGAATTTTAAAAATTGCCTCCCATAATCTTATTCGGATACGGATATATCCACTTCCATATCCATATTTGTGTCAAAATCTCCTACCATATTTTATTTTTTTATTTGTTTAATAAATTCAGATACGGATAATTTTCATTTCCATTTTGGTTCGGATGCGGATGTTTCGGATACGAATAGGCATTTTCTCGAATACGAATATCGGATATTTTGGATTATCCGCTACCACTTTCCACCCCTAGGCGTGAGGGACGTGGAGACCGACGAGATCAGTACAGAAACCGCGAGCAGTATGATCACCGACTCGATCACGATGATCGTCGTCGAGGGCCCATGCCTCCCCCAAGGAGTGGATCATACATTCCTCGGCAGCAGGATGACAGACGCCCTCACAGTGGTGGGCGAAGGATTCTAGTCGACTCCAGGGAACCGGGCTTTGATGCGAGATCTATTCTCGTTCAGGGTCTGGTCGACAGAAACAGAGCTCACAGAGAAGGCCCCTACAAAGATTTTTCAACCAGCAACAGAGTGCATGTATCAGGCCCAGAGTGCTTCAGCAGAGCCATCAGGGTTGCGGTGATTCCTCCCAAATTCAGGTTGGCGACTGGAGTCAGTAAGTTCAC